CATACTCGGCATTAGACTTATCTTGTTTAGCTTCGACACGTAGCCTCTGATTGGGAAACAGCAAGTCTAACCGTGTCCTTAAACTCCGCCAGAACATTAGTTCACCGGGGCTCTTACCAGTCGTTTCGTTCGGTGTGGAACGACAAACAAAAAGGAATTTGTCTAATGTTGTTCGCAATGCAGCTAGCAGTTGTTTCCGAAGTCCTTTCTTGACCGTCTGGATCGTCCTTTCAGATAAGCCATCAGAAGCTGGGTGATAAGGAGCCGACTTCACATGACCTATGCAGTTATTTTTCAGAAACGTCTGAAATTCCTGACTATTAAACACGCATTCATTGTCTATCATCAACGTGTGTGGTAAACCGAAGGTTGTGAAGCACGTTCGCATGCATGAAACTGTAGTCTCTGACGTGGATCGTGTTAGCGGGAAAACTTCGATTCATTTTGAGTAGGCGACGAGAAAGAGAAGAAACACCTTCCCGTCGAGTGGGCCGAAGAAGTCAGCATGTACGTGCTCCCATGGTTTACTGGGCCATTTCCATGGGCTGAGTGGTACAGGAGGGGCGCTTTGTTGTGTGCTTTGACAAGTGTCGCAGTGTCGAATTAACTTTTCAACGTCTGTCAATATTGGGCAACCACACATAGGATCGCGCAAGTCCTTTCATCCTCGTTATTCCCGGGTGAGTTTTGTGTAGTTCTTGTAGAACATCTGGACGCAAACGGAGTGGTATCATCGCTCTGGATCCACAGGGTTCACATGTATCTTCAAGACTAAGTAGCGGTTGCGGCTCACATTTATCAGGCCATCCGTGGGAAACTAAACACATGACCATGGTAAGTAGCATGTCCCGTTCGGTTCCATGACGGATATCTGCGCTTAGCACCGAATTTCCCTCTAAATGCTGAGGCAAATTAATCAGGTCAGTGGGTTTCAGTACGCAATCGGGTAACTGACTGAACGGTAAGCGGCTCAGAGCGTCCGCGACTTCAGTCGTTTTCCCACGAATATATGGGATCTTGTAGTTGTAGGCCGAAAGCAATAAGGCCCAATGATGCATACGAAGGAACGCCATCTGGTTGATGCCACTTTACTCACCAATCAAAGTTAATAACGATTAGTGATCTCTAAAAATTTCAAACTTTCTTCCCAAAAGCTACTGGTGAAATTTCTTGACCCCATAGATAACTGCTAAGGCTTCCTTGTCCAGCTGGGTGTAATTCCTCTCTGCTAGTGCCAAGTGCCTGGATGCAAAAGCTATGGGTCGTTCGGTCATATCTTCCATTTTGTGAAATAACACGGCTAAGAACCTTATGGGTAATGTGTTGTGCTGGTGACCACAGTCATCGGGTATTCTTACGCAACACTGCCTACAAGGGCGCAAGGGAAGTTGCTAGGTGGTGCAAAAACGACTGTAATAAGTCACCATTCCGAGAAATGATTGCAGTTGGGGAATGTTACGCGGTGTCGGTGAATCGAGAATGGGTTGAACTCTCCCGTAATGGATGTAACCCATGTTTGTTCAAACGAAACCCCAGGTACTCAACGCTATGGGAGAAAAAGACACACTTGGATTCGTTGACTTTCAGTCCGTTCCCCTGGAGACGCTCCAAAACAGTTATGAGTACCACCAAATGCTCGTAATCCGTACTGCCAGTAAGCAAGATATCGTCCAAGTAAGCACGCACTCCAGGTAAACCTTTCACTAAATTGTCTACAATCCTCTGAAGGATCGCCGGCGCAGAGTGTACTCCGAAAGGCAACCCGGCTATAATGAAACAACCCAAGTGTGTATTGATGGTCATAACCTCCTTAGAAGATTCATGGAGCTCCACTTGAGAATAAGAGTGGTTCACATAAAGTTTGGAGTATTTTGGTCCATCCGATAAAGGTGAATAGAGGTCATCTATTCGTGGCATAGGATAGTATTCCGTAGTCGTCGCTTGATTAGCCGTTAGTTTGTAGTCACCACAAATGCGAACCGAGCCATCTGGCTTTGGTACCGGAACGATCGGTGCAGCCCAGGATGAGTGGCGTAAAGGCACTCCAGCTCCGAATCTACTTTCGGACGAATCGCAAAAAGGTAGCTTCGTGTTTGGAAATTTTGCTTGAGTAGCTGGCATGATGTTGGAACGAGCTGTGAACTCACTTAATTCCCCAGGTATATTTGCATCAAAAGCAGTAACAAAAGCTTTCAAAAGTGTGGGGAAATCGGAAATGCGGTCCACCTTTTTGATATTTCAAAGTATTTCCGATGTGTGTTTCAATCATTTCCGCAAAAACAGGTTTGGGCCGTAGGGTGTTAACCACGATTAACGGAAGAGTCAACGTATCGCTGCTATGATTTACCCTCACATCACACACACCCAATACATCGAGCGCCTTTCCCGTGTAAGAACGTAACGTAGACTGAGTCGGTGTCAGAACCAGATCAGGCAATGTTCGCTTGTTGATCAAGGTGACTGATGCCCCGGTGTCGATTTCCGAATGCACTGGCGGGCTCTCTATGTCCAACTGCACAATAAATGTAGGTATCCCCATGATATGAGATGTGGTAGTGTGTGATATCGAATATGACATAGACTCCTCAGAATATTTCACTGACCGAACAGCATATTGCGCAGGACAGTGTATCGATCGTTGGTAAACCGTCGAACGGCATACGCGCGCAAGATCCCCAAGTTTGCCGCACATGTTACAGGTAGAGTGTTTCTGTCTACAGGTAGCAACATTTTCATGCTTGTCCCTGCATCGGTAGCAAGTAAAAGAATGTTTAATCGTTAGTTAAGGACGCGAGTTGACAGCGTGAACTGCGTCGGAAAGATAGTAAACCAAAGATAGTAAACCAATTGTAGCACCAAGTTCTCATGTTGTCGGATCAGCGCACATGCTGTTTCTCAATTAAGTTTGTTCTCGTCTTCCGAGTAGACGTTCCCTGGCTGTATCGTTTCGGGTGCCAAACAACAGACACTGGTTGCTCATTGTCTCTTTAAACTTCGTGGGTGGAATTTCATCAGAAGCGCAGTCTGGAAGGAATTGTTGTATACGGCTGATGAATTCATTAACACCTTCTTCCTCTTCCTGCCGTAACTGGGAAAACTAAGGCATACCGTAAAAACATGTCGCCGCGGCCCTCAAAGGCAATCTAATGCGTTAGGACTGTCCGACAAATAGGTGTTTTCGTAAAAACGCAGTGCATCAAAATGCCTTTGACCTTCAGCGCCAAGATGTTGTCTCAGTAGTTTGACGGAGTGGGATTCGGTAAGCACAATGTGAGGATTTGTCACTGAGAATAGTTCAAGGTACTCACAGAAGGTTCTCTACTAGCGACTTCAATGTGTTAAAGTTGGCTTACAATATGTATCGTTCCAAAACGGTTCAGGTGGAGAAAAACGGCTAATAGCAAAGGTGTCCAAATCTGATCCTCGTCGCCAGTGTCGCAATGCGGCCTGTACTGAATCACGACTTTCAGTAAAACGTAGTATCCCGCCTGTAATGCCCGACAGTACGACACGCCAGTTTCAACAGCATACAAAATGTATTCTGGCTCCACATAAACACCGCTTCGCATAAGTTCAGACAGCCCAATCAATGGTTAGCATGGCGTTAACGGGCACACACTGACGTCGGTGGATCCAGCCGACAGGAACACAGTTTACGCGATGATAAGCTTCGCGTTGGACTGACACACTGCGCAGATGCCACAGGCAGATTCTGCGGGGGCAGTTGTTGAGCTGATGTAAGTAGATTTATGTGGAAGCAGTGCTCCCATCAAAATAGCGATCAACCTTGTGGAATGGTTTCATTTACGTAACCGTTTATCCTTTGACCCTGACGTATCGAAGTATTGTGATAACTTGACTAGCTAGCTAAATTTTGGATTGACATCACTTGACAATAGGAACAGAAAAACCCGTACATGCTATCTTGCGTATAACAAAGCATTCTGCCGTGTAAAACGCGATGTGCTGTCGAAAGATCAACTCATCATGGGAACACATCCCAACACTATGCAGTTGCTGAGTGAAGATTTGCTAGACGCACTCAGATTACACGAGTCAGTGGCAAATGTCCCTACCTAACAAGCGCCAACTCGGGTGTACTTCAGGGACAAATTCTGTCGAATCCTTACTTCCGGCTTACATTAGCTCAATAATAGCATAATCCGTGGTCGGATTCGGTTGTCACTGTGGCCTCCATTGGACAGCCACAGAACGCCAGCGCCTACAGAGTGACGATGGGTGGCTTGCGCTACACGGTCCACAGCTTCCAACCAAAAATCCAATATCCATTGATGATACAAGGATACAACACAACCATACTGTAGGATTATGAAACCTAGCTAATAAAATCGACAAACATGAAATACCCAGTTGTGTTCGACCAAAGGGGTCTTCGCAGATTCGCTTACATCTGGCAGAAACACCGTGGGAGCAATGAGCGTCCTCGGTGTCATGTTTATAGCGCAGGACGAAATAGCCGTCTCGTCGCGTCGAATGCATTCGGTGTCATAAAAATTGAAAGTATTAACGGTAGAAAAAAGCCACGTAATACAACAGGAGTGAAGCAACGCTCCCGAGTTTGCCATCGGATGTCGTATACACTGAATTGCCATTCGCAATCAACCTGCACAGGTAGACAATATGTGCCCGCAAGGTAGGTGAAGCACGAGAATCTCAGCAGCGTTAGAAGTCACGATTGAACAACCCCGCTGCTACTGAGGCCTGAAGGAAACCATAGATAACTGCATTATGCCCTGTCTCATCTCGCCATCGCCACAGAATAGTCAACTGACTTCCACAACTCAGTAGCCTGTGGCTGCAAGATTAAACTGGTCACCACAAACGGATAACCATCGCTGTCCCCATACCTTCACGACAAATACAACAAACTCATGGAAGTAACAACGAGTAGCAATTAAATAAGAATAACATTGAATCCAAAGTCATACATGCAAGATGTGTTATTGGAATAAATGATAGACGGACGGTGTGGAACTTACTCAAGTGAACAGCTTCTACGTGGGTCCGAAGTTGATACAATTCGAAAAATGATTTTTCACAGTATTCGCATGTGTGATCTCTCTGCTCTGGAACAAAAAAGAACGTTCACAGAAATGTACAGCATCGAGGAATGAACTATTTCGTGATGTTACGAAGCTGACTGGGTAATGAAAGGGTGAATATCTGTCTAAAATTCCCTGGTTATCATGCACTGACCAATGCACGTATGAATGCGTAAACAAAGCTGCATTAGATCAAGGCAGTGACTGAAAGTAAGCTAGTCCACACTGTTTCATACCCAAGTGTACGCGTGTTTACACCTAAAAACAGAAGCCTAATAAACTCCCGGGATAGAAAAGAAATGGGCGGCTAAAAGAACGGATAACTTCCCCGTTGAAGAGCTGCGACATTAGGAAATCACAGCTACAGCATGAATTTCCCAGTTCGTTCAACTGTCCAATTTTGAAGGATCGATTCTAAGTCGTGCTGATGACCACAGAACGGATCTCGACGCCGGTGTTCCCCAAACCTAAAACCTCGGCTATCCATTCACAGACCGATATCAAAAGATACGTCCATCCCAGCTCCGGAGCACAGTAATCTGAGCCTTGAATTACCGGAGAACCAATAACCACCAGTCGGTGCGGTTAGTTAGCACACAGTTGCCTGCCACATAACAACTACTCCACTCAGGAGGGTGCCAACTATTCTGGAATTCCACTGGTATATAAGTGTTCATCTTGCTTCATAACAGTCGTCTAGGAGGGTTCGTCTCAAAGGGTTACATTCACTGTATCCGCACTCTGACAAGACTCACAAATACCGTCGCATTCACCGGAGAACAACAATCATGGTGTTCTCGGATACTCCAGACGCTCTCAACTGAGTAAACAAAAATGCTCTGTAGAAGGGCTTGCTAGAGAGACTTACAGGAATACTCTGTCATAATGCCTGGTAAAGTAATGGCCTATGTTAGGATGTTTTTCCCGCCTGTTGTATCAGCAATGTACGGCAATGTGGCCCAAGCTCACCATGCCCATTAAGCAATGCCAAGCGAAAAAGTCGATAACTTTGATTAGGCAGATGATATTACCTTATTTGCAGAAAATCTGCAGACTTCTCAGGTATAAAAGAAACTATATATGTTCCGCAGTTCAACCGACATAAGGTCAATCTCCTGCTTCGGAAAATGCTGGTACCTGTGCCTGCATTCACTGAAGTAGGCAAATAATTTGAGTAAGTTAATAGATTTGCTTATCCAATGAGTTGCAGGGCAGATGGTGTTGGGGAGGAAATTCCACGCATTGTTAAACTCACATTAAAATGTGTCAATGCAGTCGTCGAGTTGCCAGATACTCCACAGGTGCCGTGTTAGGAGGTATCCTACAGTGTCAAAAGATTTGAAACGACTACCTTTCTGAGCATTGTTTTTGTGAGAAAGATGGTTCGTGTGTAGTAGTCGTAGTAGTAGTAGTAGTAGTAGTAGTAGTAGTAGTAGTAGTAGTAGTAGTAGTAGTAGTAGTACTACTACTACTACTACTACTACTACTACTACTACTACTACTACTACTACTACTACTACTACTACTACTACTACTACTACTACTACTACTACTACTACTACTACTACTACTACTACTACTACTACTACTACTACTACTACTACTACTACTACTACTACTACTACTACTACTACTACTACTACTACTACTACTACTACTACTACTACTACTACTACTACTACTACTACTACTACTACTACTACTACTACTACTACTACTACTACTACTACTACTACTACTACTACTACTACTACTACTACTACTACTACTACTACTACTACTACTACTACTACTACTACTACTACTACTACTACTACTACTACTACTACTACTACTACTACTACTACTACTACTACTACTACTACTACTACTACTACTACTACTACTACTACTACTACTACTACTACTACTACTACTACTACTACTACTACTACTACTACTACTACTACTACTACTACTACTACTACTACTACTACTACTACTACTACTACTACTACTACTACTACTACTACTACTACTACTACTACTACTACTACTACTACTACTACTACTACTACTACTACTACTACTACTACTACTACTACTACTACTACTACTACTACTACTACTACTACTACTACTACTACTACTACTACTACTACTACTACTACTACTACTACTACTACTACTACTACTACTACTACTACTACTACTACTACTACTACTACTACTACTACTACTACTACTACTACTACTACTACTACTACTACTACTACTACTACTACTACTACTACTACTACTACTACTACTACTACTACTACTACTACTACTACTACTACTACTACTACTACTACTACTACTACTACTACTACTACTACTACTACTACTACTACTACTACTACTACTACTACTACTACTACTACTACTACTACTACTACTACTACTACTACTACTACTACTACTACTACTACTACTACTACTACTACTACTACTACTACTACTACTACTACTACTACTACTACTACTACTACTACTACTACTACTACTACTACTACTACTACTACTACTACTACTACTACTACTACTACTACTACTACTACTACTACTACTACTACTACTACTACTACTACTACTACTACTACTACTACTACTACTACTACTACTACTACTACTACTACTACTACTACTACTACTACTACTACTACTACTACTACTACTACTACTACTACTACTACTACTACTACTACTACTACTACTACTACTACTACTACTACTACTACTACTACTACTACTACTACTACTACTACTACTACTACTACTACTACTACTACTACTACTACTACTACTACTACTACTACTACTACTACTACTACTACTACTACTACTACTACTACTACTACTACTACTACTACTACTACTACTACTACTACTACTACTACTACTACTACTACTACTACTACTACTACTACTACTACTACTACTACTACTACTACTACTACTACTACTACTACTACTACTACTACTACTACTACTACTACTACTACTACTACTACTACTACTACTACTACTACTACTACTACTACTACTACCACTACTACTACTACTACTACTACTACTACTACTACTACTACTACTACTACTACTACTACTACTACTACTACTACTACTACTACTACTACTACTACTACTACTACTACTACTACTACTACTACTACTACTACTACTACTACTACTACTACGGGATGTGATCAAAAGTATGCGTAAAAGAAGTAGCTACAAAATAAATAAAAAGAAATTGGTAATTCCCGATAGCGCGACAGTGCCCGTAATTGTAATCCAGCTTTCTGGAGACGCGAAAGCACTCTCTTCCTTGTCTGTATCAACTCTTTCGGATCTGAGGCCATAATTAAAGCATCGTCCAGGCATACTGCTATATTTGAAATATCGCTTAGCAGGGTATACATTATTTGTTGAAAAATTGCCGGTGCGGTTTTTACTCCGAACGACAGCCGGTTGTACTGAAAAGTCCGAGATGGGTATTTACTGTCAGTAATGTTCTGCACTAATGGGCAACTGGGATTTGCAGATATACATAAGCTAGGTGAAGTTTTACAAAACATTTCGCCCCATTGAGTTTGCTGAACAAGTCTTTTGGTACCGGCAGGGGATACTGATGATCTTCCAACACAGAATTCAAACCTGTCGAGAAATCAACACAACATTATGGGACCACTTCTCTTTCGGATGCAAATAAATGAGATTTCTGACATTATTTTTGTATGGTAGGCCCTACATGTGTGCGGATGATATGAAAGTTAGATACACATTTGATCCCAGAAATCTAGAGTCCATGATTCGAAACGTACAAGCTGACCTGAATACACTTGAAGGATAGTGTTGCACTTCAAAAATAAATTTCTCCGTCGAAAAGGGTAATACCATCACATGCAAAGGTGATACGAAAGTTCAACCGTTAACCTTCCTCGGTAAACCCCTAGCATATGGGGCTTCACTATTCCAGCAGCCTTAACTTCTCCGAACATGTACAATGCACAGTCGTTAAAATCAAGAAAAAGAATGCACCGTTTCTCAAACTCTTTACCCTAACAAATGATAAACTTACAATATACAAGACATGTGCACGGCTAACGATAGAGTACTGTTATATGATATTCGGTAATGAAAGCAGTGACACGAGACTAGAGCTGGTTCAACGTGCTTTTACAAGACAGATCCTGAGCGCTACTCAGAGGTTAACATACCATGAACGTTGCAAAATGCTGATGATGGACCCGATATGCTTGCGTAGAATAATGATAAATATAACACTACCTTTCGACGTCATGCATGGGCGCATTCATACAGATGGATACTCTCACAAATTACAGCACAATAAATGTTACCCCATCCGTAGTAAAAAGCGCAAACTTGCGATTGTAAAGTCATGCACCAACATGCGTGCGAACTTTTTCTTCATTAGAAATGCATTGATTTGAAAGCGTCTCCCACAGTCCATTAGATCATGCACATCTCCTCATATGTTCCGTGTACAGATAAATAAATTTCTTAGTTCCAAAACTCACGCAACTTTTCAAGCTGAATATCGCGGAGACAGAGATTTATCGGGAGGGGCTAAAGGGCATTTGATGCATGTACGTGATACCTCGAGGTCGTACATTAAAAAACTGCAATGCTTTCACAGAAGCCAAAAAAGAAAACATACCAACTTTAAATGCCCACTCTTCCAAAATTTATCACTGTCCTTCATTACCCGGCCACACCAACCCCAAGACCATCATAACAATATGGTGGCTAAAGAGGGGCGTTAAACTGAGTCCACTACTTCATTCATCCGACCAATGTTATAACATTTCCTTACTCAGCCAGGCCGACCTCGAGGCTGTTACCCCCACAAGAAAGTGAACGATGAAAGGTAAACCGAGTCCTCGTTTTCACTACTTCGACCCCTGTTATACCCCTTCGTTAACCGGCCATACATATTTCCAGGGCTCCATGACCACATAGAAGTCTATGAAGAGGACCAA